GTTGCCATCAACATCCCCTTTGGTTGGGAAGTGTCATAATGCCATTTGGGTTTCCATGGCTGAGCAGGCATTCAAACATTGGTCTCCTGGACTCCTAGTCCAAGCTTTCGGGACAGGGCAATAAAGCAGCAATACAAAAAATTACCAGGCCAATTAGATTTGATGTGGTTGACTAGGATGGTTTTAAATGGTGGATTTTAATATTTTGATTTTTTTTAATGTTTATGTATTGTATGTGAATTTGTGTCCTGGCATTGAATGTTTGCCATGTATATGCTGTGCTCTACCCCAAGTCCCCTTGGGGGTGAGAAGGGTAGAATATAAATGTTTTAAATAAATAAATAGTCCACACTCAGAATACTACACTTTACTTACTGATTGATATTAGATCAAGGTTTGTTGGAAAGGTTTGTTGGGAATTATCATAACCTTACCGATCTGAGCCAGTTGGTAGTCTTGGGCTCACATTTCTAATCAAAAATCACAGCAACTAGTACAAGAATAATAAAGTATATCTCTATCCTACTGTCCCACTCCAAAAAGATGCTAGTCTAAGAGCTTCTCACGAGTCTTAAACACCTTCCCAAATTCTGCAGAGAGCAAATATCCAGTAATAAAAGGTAAAGGTTTCCCCTTGACATTAAGTCTAGTTGTGTCTGACTCTAGGGGGTGGTGCTCATCTCAGTTTCGAAACCAAAGAGCCGCCGTTGTCTGTAGATGCCTCTAAGGCCATGTGGCTGGCATGATTACATGGAGTGCTGTTACCTTCCCACAGAAGCAGTACCTATTGATCTACTCACATTTGCATGATTTCGAACTTCTAGGTTGGCAGAAGCTGGGGCTAACGGCGGGAGCTCACCCTGCTTCCCAAATTCGAACCTCTGATCTTTCAGTCAGCAACTTCAGTAGTTTAACCCACTGCGCCACCGGGGGGGAGGGGGGGAGTTATATCCAGTAATACTGTTTAGCAAATAGCTGTTATAGACAACTTGTGTTTGTCAACCCAGTCAAAGGACAATAATGTATTGAATTGATGGCATACACTAGAACCTTACCCATAGTTTAACAGGAAAAAATGTTGTCTTTATATCTGGAACTGATCTGGAAAAACAGGTTTGCGCCTGCCTTTGCAACATGCTGTACCTGCCAGTGTAACACTGGGTTCCCAAAATTTTAGCAAAAAATACCTTATTTCTCAGGCCCTATACACTTGTTTTCCTTTTAAAGGGGCTTCCACACCTCCAGCAGATAACTGGAAATGTTGCCAAATTGAGGGGAGGATTTCTTACACACAGCATAACACAGTGAGACACAAGCTTCTGCAAATCCTTTTCATTCACAGAGAACTTGGGGGAGGGGGCGAAGGAGCCTTCTTGTGCTACAGGGCATTGAGGCCAAAGCAAGACTACAGCCTGAATGAACTATTTCTGCAAGCCTGACTGTGCAGGATTTATATGGAACACTGCTTTGGTTCAAGAGACTGTAGACAATTATCAATGTTGGAATCAATGCTAATCTAAAAAACATCAGAGAAGTGCATACTGCCTAAAAAGAACAAGCTCAATTCTTCCTTCTGTACTATGCTTCTCAAGAGATGCCTTAATCTAGGTTTTCACATTGCTCCATTAAAGCAAACTCCACCTTAATTTCCATGGTTGCATGGTATCAAATCCAGGGGCTTGTACTGAGGTGATACATAAATACCTCTCTCAAAGCTTCAAACCTCTGGATTCCAGATGAGATTGCCATGGCAGTTAAAGTGTAATCATAGTGCTTTAATTGTGCAGTTTGAAAGGGCACTTGCATTTGAGTAGGCGTATCTTTGAAATCTGAGGTTCCCCTACCAACATATTGTTAGGTTTTAGCCAAAGCATATCCCTACCACAATCAAAAACTCCCAAAATAGTTATTCCTTTTCTCTGGAAATACTGGAAACTGCAACGGTTATCTTGGCACATTCTGCAACTCTTGGCACATTCACAATTTCAGTTATGAGGATTCTTTAGATAACAAAATTATCCAGGCTTTTAAATGTAGAATGAAGATAATTTCATTGTAGAAGTATAACACAGGCTGTTTTCCACAAGCTTCTGTATCAGATTTTTGGATTCTTTAACCCAACCAACACTCACTAAACCAACTGAGTGTATATTCAAAAGGAAATCCGCAATAGCGAACATTAGAAGAGATAGGGAGATAACTGTTGAGAATCAATAATAGCCATAGAGAAAATTACATCCTTGATCCTGCAATAGGACCAAAGCTATTTATTTCATAAACACTTCACTACCAGGAAATGCAAAGCAACATAATTTCCATCCTCCCTCCGGGAAGCTATAAATGTTACTTCACATGCTATCAATACACAGAACAAGAAGCAGTCATGCTGCACTTTTAAGACAAACACAAATACACAAGCCTCCTATGACCCCACATTCAGGATCTAAATTCAATTATTAGTACCAGCTGAAGCAAACCTAAGCAATCAAGGGAATGTATACAAGTGTGTTAATGGTTTCTATTGTTTCAGTAGATCTGTTCCACATGGGAATAACAAATGGATTTAGGCATTGGATCAGAGGTGGTCCTACTTGAGTACTGCATAAATAGCTATCAACTTGCTTCACAACCAGTCAAAGAATGTAAGGCAAGCATAGACATTGCAAAAAAGGCAGATGAGCAGCAAAGTAGTTTTTTTCTGGACATTACTTAATAGAAAGAGATAAGTAGGGATTCCACATCCTACTGTTTACCTTGCCTGTTGTAAGATACTAGTGAAGGATACTAGAGTAGAATTACACTAATTCCCAGTTTATGTCATTGTTTTGCGAGGACACACTGTTATGACTTCACACTGAAACTCTTGTGCCTTCAACTCTCCTCCAGCATCTCCCCAGTGCTATCATTGCTAGGAGGGAAAGAGGGAGCTTGTCAGGCATAAAAGGGAACTTATTTTATCAGCGTCCTTATTAACTATACCTTGTTACCTCTAGTAACCTCATTTTTCACTCTACTGATACCATGGGCATCAGCTGCCACTGGTATAGAGTCATAGTTATTTAGGTGTCCTTGTTTTTAGGGTGAACACGCAAGCAATTTCTCCCAGGGGTATGTGTCTCCATTGGCAGCAAAAGGTGAGCATGATTTCATAACCGGCAAATGCCTCAAGGTTTCAGAGAAGCTCTGCTGGCAATTCAACACGGTATAATTACTAGAGGACTGGGACTGTTAGAAATGTCTTCCCAGCCCTTCCCACCATCAATTCTCTTCTAGAACAAGCTTAGAGTCAATAGCATACACTCTCTGGGCTAATTGATTTCTGAATTAAAGGTCTAACGAAATACAAACCATACTCCCCAACACGCTTACACTCACGCAAAGGGAAGTATCACTTGCGTAAACATGGTAATGCGATTCTAAGAAGGGCCAACTCATTTCTCATCAGCTGTTTGAAACGGAAAGATAACTGTTTCCCAATGTTCAAGATGAGAATCAGAAAACAATGAGGAAGGGCTTGGGTGTGTCGTCCAGGGGACACAGAGTACAGAATTTGCACACAGTAATCTGCCAACTGCTACCACTGCAAAGACTCCAGAGTTCGGAAAGGTGACCTTTTGGACTATCATGCCCAGAATCCCCCTTTAGCTATATATACTGCAGTCCAACAAAGTAAACTTTTCCAAGGTTTGCAATTCCACCTGTTTGACACCACTTGACTAGCCATAGTTCAATGCTATAGAATCATGGGAATTGTAGATTTACAAAGCCTTTTCTGCCAAAGTGCTGGTGGCTCACTAAAAAAAATAATCCCAGGATTCCATAGCATTGAGCCAGGCAAGCTAAAGCTAAATTAATATAAAGTGTAGAACCAACTCTCTAGAGAGAGCCACAGAGACTGGGTCCGCCTCCAAAGAAATCCAGTCCTTCCGAGCAAAAAGCATCTATTTTTCCAACCAAGCAAGAGCAGGCGGCCATGGAAACGCCTTTTCCCTCCTCCAACCAAAGAAAGAACGGTTTCTCCTAATACATTGTATGATTTGGCATGCACCGAGTTTATTCATAAAGGAGGAAAGTTGAAAAATGCAGCCGTGAAACGTAGGAGAGCTAAGCAAGGCAGCCTTGAGGAGACTCTCCTAGGCGACCTCCTTCCCTCTCCATGTGCCATTTTGGGCGACTAGCTGGGGAAGAAAGGGGAAACTTGGGGGCGTTTTGAGAAATCCCAGCGAGGAAGAGGAAAGGCAGGCGGGGCAGCTGAAAAGATTCAGGGGAGCACTCCAGGTCATGCCCCCACCCAAGAGGACCCTACCTGGGGGGAACAACTGCTCTCCTTCAAACTGCTGGGCATTGTTTTAAACCCCAACGCGTTTTCTTTCGGGATGTGGCAATCTCGCCAGCAGCCAAGGCGCACGGGAGCAGGATTTGCTCCTTTTGCCGGGTAGGAAACACCCCAGAGATGGACACGAGCAGAGACATGACCCTTCTCCAATTCCCAACAGTTGCATTTCGAGCTCCTTTTGGGAAAGTTCTTTCTGGAAGGAGGCGAAGCAGGAGGGGAGACCGCCCCCGTCTCCCCCAAAAGTAGCCCTGGAGACACACTCCAATGATTGAAAGTCTCCTCGTGCCTTCCCTTTGGTGCAGGGAGTCCTTTCTCATCCTCACTCGGAAGACTTTCCAAGTAAATCAAGGGAAGAAAGCCCGAAAAAGAGCAAGAAAGCAAGTCCTCCTTTGAAGAGGCGTGAGGAGTTTTGGGAAAGAGGCGCTTCTTTTCAGCTTCTTTCCAGAGTTTTGGGCTGAATGGATGCTTCTCTCCTCCTCCCTTTAAAACCAGGAGAGTTGGTAGGGAAGAACAAGCAAATCCCTCCCGAAATTTTAAGGAGTAAGGCAAGTTTGATGAGGATTTCCTTTTGTTCTAGTTCAGGCAGCTTTGCTAAGGAACCCAAGTTGTCCAAGGCACCCATTTCAAAGCGCCCCCCCCCCCCCCCAAATTCTTCAGTGCTTACCAAGGCAAGGGTCCCTCCACCACCGAGCCAAGGGAGAGGGCGGCTACTCCTGCGCCTCCATGGCGAAGTCAGGCGCAAAGTAAGAGGCGAGCGGGGAACCTCCACCTCCCGCCTCTTCGCCTTTCTTTCATTCAGGCCTTTGGCGAGGCGCCGCGCTGATTGGCCCCAGCCCGGGAAGGGAGCGCCCCTCCAACTTCACAGCCGGCCGCCCTCGCTTTGCAACACACAACACAAACCACCGGAGTGTACTGTGGAAAGGAAGCGTGACATCACGAGTTGCCGTGGGAGTTGGAGTTTCACCAGCTCTCTCTGCCAAAGCAGGCTGGTGCTTAGCGAAACTACAGAGACCTAGGATTCCATTGGCACCGAGCCATTGCAGTTAAAGTGGTGTCAAATTGCATCATTCCTCGTCTCTTTTGTTTGGTAGTGCTACAAGCCAGCTGCCAGGAATTAGCCATCAAACCATGCCTAGAGAAGGGTACTGAGAACAGAGTATCTGCTTCTTTTAAGCGTCAAGGGCCTGGAGAACAAGCCCTATGAGGAGCGGCTTAAAGAGCTGGGCATGTTTAGTCTTCAGAAGAGAAAGCTGAGAGGAGACATGATGAAGGCCATGGATAAAGATGTGAGGGGAAGTCATAGAGAGGAGGGAGCAAGTTTGTTTTATCCTGCTCTGGAGACTAGGACACGGAACAATGGCTTCAAACTACAAGAAAGGAGATTCTACCTGAACATGAGGAAGAACTTCCTAATGGTGAGAGCTGTTCAGCAGTGAAACTCTCTGCCTCAGAGTGTGATGGAGGTGCCCTCTTTGGAGGCTTTTAAGCAGATGCTGGGTGGCCATCTGTCAGGGGTGCTTTGAATGCAGTTTTCCTGCTTCATGGCCCACGATGTCTCTTCCAACTCAATGATTCTATAATTCTGTCCCATATCACATTGAGATGGTGAGACAGTGAGGCTTTATAACAGGCATAGACAAACTTCGGTTCTCCAGATGTTTTGAACATCAACTCCCATTATTCCCAATAGCTGGTGATCATGTTCTTTATTCGTTCAGTCACTTCCGACTCTTCATGACTTCATGGACCAGGCCACATTAGAGCTCCCTGCCAGCCATGGCCACCTCCACCTCCTTCAAGGTCTAACCAGTCACTTCAAGGATACCATCCATCCATCTTGCCCTTGGTCAGTCCCTCTTCCTTTTTCCTTCCATTTTCCTCAGAATCATTATTTTCTCCAAGCTTTCCTGTCTTCTCATTGTTTGGCCAAAGTACTTCATCTTTGCCTCTAATATTCTTCTCTCCAGTGAGCAGCTTGGTTTTATTTCATAGAGTATGAACTGGTTGAATCTTCTTACTTTCCAAAGCACTCTCAGAATTTTCCTCTAACACCACCGTTCAAAAGTGTGTATCTTCCTTTGCTCAGCCTTCCTTATGATTCAGTTCTCACATCCATAGGTTACTATGTGGAATACCATTGCTTTAACTATGCAGATCTTCATTACCAATGCGATGTCTCTACTCTTCATTATTTTATCAAGATTGGTCTCCAGGAAATCAGAAGTAAATGTCTTCTGATTTCCTGGCTGCAGTCTGTGTCTGCAGTAATCTTTGTGCCTAGAAATACAAAGTCTGTCACTGCCTTGAGTTTCTTTTAAGCTTCCCAAATCACATTGAGATGATGAGACAATGAGAGGTTATAACAGACATGGGCAAACTTCAGCTCTCCAGGTGTTTTGGACTTCAGCTCCCATAATTCCCACCAGTCAGTAGGACAAAACATATACTGTACCTGGCAACCACCTTTGGATCGCAGTTCACAGAATCCTCACCAGTATGTTTAGCATTCTGGAGTTTGTAGCTTCAAAAAAAGGAAGATAGACCGGTGGTGCAGTGGGTTAAAGCACTGAGCTGCTGAGCTTGTTGATTGAAAGGTCGCAGGTTCGATTCCGGGGAGCGGCGTGAGCTTCCGCTGTCAGCCCTAGCTTCTGCCAACCTAGCAGTTCGAAAACATGCAAATGTGAGTAGATCAATAGGTACCGCTCCGGCGGGAAGGTAACGGCGCTCCATGCAGTCATGCCAGCCACATGACCTTGGAGGTGTCTACGGACAACGCTGGCTCTTCGGCTTAGAAATGGAGATGAGCACCACACCCCAGGGTCAGACATGACTGGACTTAATGTCAGGGGACTATCTTTACCTATCTTTTTAGATGCTTTGGAACTGTGGTGCTAGAGGAAAATTCTGAGAGTGCCTTGGACTGCGAGAAGATCAAACCAGTCCATACTCCAAGACATAAAGCCTGACTTCTCACTGGAAGGAAGAATATTAAAGGCAAAGATGAAGTACTTTGGCCACATAATGAGAAGACAGGAAAGCTTAGAGAAGATATTGATGCTGGGGAAAAGGGAAGGAAAAAGGAAGAGGGGCCGACCAAGAGCAAGATGGATGGATGGTGTCCTTGAAGGAGCTGGGGGTGGCGACAGCCAACAGAGACCTATGGCGTGGGCTGGTCCATGAGATCATGAAGAATCAGAAGCAACTGAATGAATAAACAACAACGAAAGCTTCAGAAAGGAACTTTTCTTCCTCTGGCATTGTTATAGTCACAGAGTTGCTCTGTGCTCGAAGTATAAACATACCAGGATCAGAGTATTCACTTAATCTTACCCAAATATCTAGGCAAACAAGATTTGTGTAATAGGTAAGTATATGATTTCTCCCAACAGAAGTCCTTTTTGACCACAATAACAGGTTTTGCTTGACATCTCATTTTGGTGACCTTCCTTGTTTTCTTGCATCTTTTAATGCAAGAAACATTTGTTATTGTGCTTTATCTAAATGTGTGAATTTTCAGCTTTATTAAATGCTACTCTAAACAGCTAAAGTTAAAACCAACATTGGCTAAAAATGGTTTTTATGGTAATTTCAGCACAGAAAATAGAAAGTGGCATATCAATGTGCTCTGTTTGTGAACCAATATAAACATTTTGCTGGAAAAGTAAGCCCAATTGGATTGAATTGAACATCCAAGTGAATCAACAGTTTGAGGCAGGAGAACTGAAAGTTAGTTTTGTTGGTCTTGCGGAAATTTTCCTTGAACAAACATACATGAACCTGTGACTGTGGACTATGTATGCTTGTTTGAGGGAGACTCATAGTTAGATTTTTTTTAAAAAATTATGTATAAGGATAATCTTGAGAAGCTAACAACCAACAGATAAATGGCTCTGGTCCACGCCCTTGTGTCTTCAGTACAAATATGGCCAAGAGTATATGTCGGAGGAAGTGATTATGTTGTTTGAAGTGTGCATGTGCCTGAATGGGATAAGCGTGATTTCTTTTAAAACTCGTGATTTCAGGGATATCAAAACTTATGTATGAGATAAACTGTGCATGTCTAAAGAATCTTATAAAAGATGGGTCCACCAGTCTTAGCCAAGAATAAAGCTGTTAAAACCTGAGCTCCTGTATCTGTCTGAGCTCTTGGAACCATCCAGCTGGGCTGTTTCAAGTGGTCAGCAGGCTATTGCATACTGGTCCTCAAGTAGAAATTTCTGACCATTCAACAACTTGCTATGAAGAATTTGCACAGCACTTTGCAGATAATGATGCTCAGCTCCATTCCGTCTTTGATGCTATTATTGATGCAGTTCCAATAGGTGTTTGTATCCAGTGCTGATGGATATTTTTCAATTTGTGCAGTCTGAGGATGTGGACAGGATCCTTAGAGAGGTGAGAGCTATCACATGTATTCTAGATCCTTGCTCTTCCTGGCGGATCAAACAGACCAGAGAGGGACTGGCAGAATGGTTGAAGGTGATGGTCAATACATCCTTGGAACTAGGCAAAATTCCAACTTACCTAAATTAGAACTTGTAAGACCTATATTTTAAAAAACTATCTCCGAACTGCTCTATAATGGACAGCTATCAGCCAGTGTCCAACCTTTCCTTTTTGAGCAAGGTTTTGGAGCATGTGATAGCCTCCCAACTCTAAGGATTTCTGGATGAAATGGATTATCTAGATCAATTTCAATCTGGTTTCTGGCCTAGCTGTGGAACAGAGACAGTTTTGATCACCTTGGTGGATTGCCTACACAGAGAGCTAGATAGCATCTCTTAGTATCTTTTGCTACCATTAACCATGGTATCCTCCTGGGTCATCTTGCTGAGATAGGACTGGGAGGCTCTGGTATACAGTGGCTGTGTTCCTCCCTGGAGAGCTATACCAGAAATTGGTGCTGGGGGACTCCTGTTTAAACCTCTGGCCATTAACCTGCGGGGTTCCTTGGGATTCTGTTTTGCCCCCCATGTTGTTTAACATATACATGAAACCACAGAGAGAAGCCATCTGGAGTTTTGGAATATGGTGCCATCGATATGCAGATGACATCCAATTCTACTATTCTTTCCCACCTAAAGCAAATGAAGTTATCTTGACTCTAAGCTAGTATCTGTCAATAATGGACTGGATAAGGGCAAACAAATTGAAGCCTATTCCAGACAAGACACAGGTCAGAAGGTAGATCAGGGAAGGTTTATTTTTTTACAGTATTTATATACTACCTTTCTCACCCCTGGGGGGACTCAAAGAGATTCCAGCCTGTGCTGGGTGGGGTTACACTCCCCCTGAAGACACAGATCTGCAGTTTGGGTTTCCTCCTGGACTCAGTGTTGAACCTGAAGGCCCAGGTATCTGTGGTGGCCACGAGGTCCTTTGCATAATTAGAACTTGTCTGTCAACTGCACCATTTCCCTCAGAAGCCAGATCTGGCCACAGTGGTACATCTCTTAGTTACATCCCATCTGGATTACTGTAACGCGCTCTATGTGGGGCCACCTCTGAAGAGTGCTCAGAAACTTCAGCTGGTCCAAATAGCTGCAGCCAGGTTACTAACTGGGGCTGGCTACAGGGAGCATACAACTCCCCTGTTACAGCAGCTATACTGGCTGCTAGTCTGTTTCCAGGCACAATTCATAATGCTGGTTATGACCTTTAAAGCCGTAGGTGGCTCAGATCCTGGCTATTTGGCTAACTGCATCCCCTTGTACAAACCTGCTCGGGCCCTGCCATCTTCAGGAGAGGCCCATCTCTCAGTCCCACCTCCATCTCAAGTTTGGTTGGTGGGAACAAGAGAGCGGACCTTCTTTCTTGGTGGCTGCCCATCGACTCTGGAACTCCCTGCCCAGGAAAGCCAGTATAGCCCCCTCCCAGCTATCATTCCTGCAGTAGGTTAAAACCTTTTTATTCAGGTAGGCTTTTGAAGAAGGTT